CTAGATGGTAGAAATGGCAGATAATACAAATCTGCAGCTCTGTCGTGCGGCCCATATCTTAATCTTATAAAACTAGAAGAATGCTGAAAACAGGGTAGATGGTAATTTCTCGAAGGATACCAGGATTTTGTTAGCTCTGGAATTTACATAAGTGATGTGCCTGGGGCAGACACACATGTAATTCCCCGTCCCAAGTTCTTGCCAAACACAAAGGACTGGAAAGGTTACTGGGTTTTATTAGAGGGCTAAGAGCAGAAAGACATCAAAGAGGAAGAGAAAAAGTCATTGTTTTTAATAAGCCTAACTGAATTAAAGTCAGAGAAAATAGATTTCTTGTGAACATATGGCTCTCTTAGATAAATGGGGACTCTAGGTCTTGGATCCTTAAGAGTCTGGTCTAAGGATCTTAGAGGCTATCAAAACAGGAAGGATTTCCAGTGGTTTAGCACCCTCTCTGTGGAAAGGTAGTGGGCTAGAACAAAGACTCTGAAAGATACACTGTAGCCGGGACAGACCTCTTCCCTCCACATCCCCCCACCCCCAACACTCCTGTCTTCTACCTTCCGAACTTCTGGCTCCCAAAAAGGACAAACTGGTAGCTTTGAGTCCCCCACATCTCTCATTTTCCAAGTGCTTAAAATGCCTACTGTTACTTTCTTAGCTTCCAAACAAAAAGACTTAGGGACCATCTTTTCAAGTAGAAATGGTCCAAGACCACAGAGCAAGTAAACTTAAGAGTTTTGCTCCAAACTGGGCCCCAAATGATGTGCATTCACTCTCCAAAAGGAAGGCTCTGTCTCTACTCTATCAACTTCACATGTAGTTTAAAACAAACAAAAAAAAAGAGTCCAGTTGAATAATTTCATATTAAAACAGGATTAAGATCAATGTGTTTTAGGCTCAAGGGCTGCCTTTTTCCTGAGCCACCTACTACAATGTATTTATGAGAAGTTGATTTTATCAGTTAATTAGCCAGTCCTTAGGAAATTACTTGTACTTCCTCCGATCGGTCCATTCTTTTTGAAACACAGATCTAAAAAAGAACACTTCAAGGGGAAAATGAGGTCATTTGGATTTTCAAACAGTTCTCTAAATTATATTTGCTATGGAGGCCATGGTTTTAAAATAAGATTTTTATCAAGCCTTTTCCCCACTATAAAATATTTTTGTTATTCAAGATGCTGACAGGTAAACATTCACAATATTACAATTCAAACAAATGAGTGTAATTAAAAGAAAATTAAAACTGAAATCTGCATTTAAAAAATACTATTGATATATCCTAAAATCTAGTAATACCCTTAAGTGCCAAGTCAGTCCAGAAAAATTAATGTAAGCTCCCCCTCCCCAAACCTAAGCACTTTGAGTTCCAATCTTATCCATGGTTTTGATTTATAGTTAATTCTATGAAAACGTACAGTAAAAACGTATACACATCTAACCACTGACCCAGATTCCAGGTATGCAGCTCTGTGTTAACAGACATATTTAGCTATACGCACATTTATATGGATATATATGTACACAAACTTATTTATATTATACAGGATGTATACAGATAAGTCTTGTCTGTATGTACACTAGTGTGTCTTATAGGAAAGATGTCAGTTTTATAATTTTTCTGTTTTATAGATCTCTTCCAAATCCTAGATGGAAAAACTCAAAGCACCAAGATATTTAATAAGTTTTTCAGGATCACGGAATGAAGAGACCTGAGGTGTTAAATTGGGTGGCCTATAGTCTCCCTAAGTCTTTTCTGAGGGCTGGCTCTAGGTTTTTGGAATCATTAGGGAGAGCCTGGACCACACCCGCATGTGCCAATACCCCCCAGCCCTGCAGCTCTGTGAGAGCTTTTGTAAGGATAATATTTTATAATTTCTTTTTCTCATTTCACCTAACCCCTCCCCTTTGCCCCAAACTACCAGTCAGTCTCTCCAGTTATCTGGACCTTATATTATCCCTTCTGTAAAATGAAGGGGTTAGGAAGGCTATGTCTACAAGGGACCTGCAGCCCAAACAATCTAGGACTTCAAGGTTACTTCTCAGGATCAGGGGACAATGGGGGGCATCGGCAGAACCTCTATCGTCTATAGGTTGCACTTTCTGTTGCCTTGAATTTGATCTTTAAGAGTTTCCAGATGGGGGGATACTTTGCTAATGTCTGTATTTGTGAGGTAAGGTGAAGTCTATGTAGCTAGAAGTAAGCTGAACATTTCTCTAAGACTTACAAGGACAATGGTTTCATTTATTCAAATCACACTTATGGATAGATGCCTCTGGGTAGGAACCCAAATCTGGAAAACTTACAAAACATAATCTCTTTAGAAGCTGAGCTCATAGCACTTACTGAAAAAAGTAAGCCATAATCTTCAAAACTGACATTCTAAAATAAAAATTACCACATCACTTAGTATTTCTTTTTCTCCCATACACACACATACACACACACACACACACACACAGACTCTCTCTGCCTTTGCACCCTCCCACACACACTCTCTCTCTCTGCCTTTGCACCCTCCCTCACACACACACACACACACACACAGGAAAATTAATCAAATCATCTTAAAAGGACCAAGTATAATCAGTGTGGCAGGCCACAGAAGAATATTTGTTACAAATGCTTTTGCTACTATAGGGAAAAGGTTTACTTTACTGGGCAAGTGCAGTTTGGTTTACAGTTCATTGATTGGCTGATTCAAATCAACTCATAAGGTTTTATTAAATTTGAATGAGTTTCTCCTCCTCCCCTAGAATAATCATGGGCTCTTCCAGAAGGTGACTGCAGTCAAAGCTGATCCTCAATCCAAGGCTGTGAGAGATGCTCCCAGAGAAGTCTGCCCAGCACCCCCTCCATCTCCACTGTCACTCACAACTGCAGTCAAACCAGTCGCAAACAACAGGAAAGGCGAACAGCTCAAGAATATCCCACCCCAACCTTGTACTCTTATTTAACTTCTAAGGCAAGCTGATCTGCTTGAAGCCCTCCTTCTTAAAGCTCCATCTCCCGAAATAAGAGTCAGAGAAGGGGAGAGAATTATTAAAACACCTTTTGAGGCTACTCTACCATCTGTTTCATCCTTAAAGAACAGAAAAGCTCAACCTTAAGAAGTTAAGGCAAAAAGCAAACAAAAGTAAAAAACACATCCCACTTGGTAAGCAGAAACCTCTCAAAGCATCTCCATTTTAGGTAGGTATAGCAATTTAATTGAAGAATTTAGCACATTCTATTGGCTGAGTGGGAATTATTTCTAAGGAGCCAAAACACATTTATTGATTACTTCACTTTAGCCTACTCCTGCAGATAAACATCTCTCATCTCAAATATAAATCTTGTTTACTGACATCTTTCTCTAATGAGCATACCTTTGCTTCAGCACATGAAATCAATTTGAATGCAGTCATCTCAACTCCCTCTTAACTCTTTGGGTTACAGAGAAACAAACAAAAGTGTCATAAAAGCATTTCAAAGAACTTCTGCCAAGAAAGCCACCTCCCAAGCAGACTGCGGTTTATGCTGCTCTGAGCAGAAACGGGAAAGGCTGGGCCCAGTTGTCAACACAGAACAAAGTGGGATTACAAATCCTGTCTTTTATCTTGCAACACACACACACACACACACACACACACACACACGGACACACACACGCACGTGCGCGCGCACACACAATATTTGGGTTATCTTTATTTAGCCTTTTAGTGGCAACCTTCCCAAACACTTGAAAGCAATCAAAGGGCAATAATTAACATGCATGCCCCTTCCTATAGAAAAACTATAGCGAGCTCTGACATCGCTAAGGTAAGTACGCATCTGCGGGTTAGAGTTTACTCCCTTTTAAATTTCATGGCATTGTGCCTTGAACAGGGTGCATTAAAGAATGTTTAGCTGGTACCTCTGGTCTTTTATCTAATAATTTCGAATAGCCAGCTTTTACTTAGATACAAAGAAGCCTCTCTCTCCCGTGGCATTTACACACATATTCACACATAAACACACACATACACACCACACTAAAAGCAGGGAAGAATTTGTTGGTGCGAAATGAGAAATCGAATCCTTGCCTGGCTCAGGTGCTTGCTATTATAAACTATGACTAAGAGACATGAATTTCTCTATGATGCAACCCTCAAGAGAGGCAGCATTTTCTCCAGGCCTCTCTTTAAACCTGCTCACTCGCCAGTGACTAATGCTCTCTAGAGCTGCCCTGTGCTGCTCACATTTCATCAGCCGGCTTTGTCCTTGATAGCTCTGCCTGGACCATAGAAGCTCCCAAACCTGTTGAGGACAGCCCAGAAAGATCAGCACAAAGCTAACCATGCCCTTGCCAGCACCGAGAGCCATCTTTTGAGCTTCCCACTGCGTTTATTAACACAATGATGGGGCCCTTCACGAACATTCGAAGAGTAAGTTTAGACTCCTCACTGAAAGATAAGTCCTGAACTATACGAAAAATAAGAGTCAATCAGGTCACACGGTGACCACCCTGTGTCAACTTAGAAGTAGAAACAAAATTGACAACATGTTGGGTGAGGCCACAATTAACTGGAATCTTCCATTAACTATTTTCTGCACCTTTAAAAGAGAAAAAAATGTCAGACTCATGATCTGCATCAAGGAATTAATTTATAAAACAAACCAAAAAACGCCATAAAATAATGTCTGGTTAATGGATGTTAAGTCCAACATCTTATATATATGATGTCAGTTGATTGATAATTCTGAGCTTGAAGGCTTGCAATATTCTTAGGCAAAAAGAAATTTAGGATGAAATTATGTTCAGTAAATCTTACCTGCAAAGGAATAAAAGCATTTTAGAAATAACTCCAATAAGGAATGAAACAAAAGTTTTGGGGGTTAACTCTGAATTATTAAAAGAAACTAAATGCATTCCACTGTCCAAATACACTGGCAATGGCTGAAAAGAGTCTCCCAGACATGGATGTTCCAAGACCAAACGTTTTCGGAACAAACGTGCTACCCCCAGAAAGGTACTTACAGTTATCAGACTGGAAATCTGGGACAAATTGTTCATCATCAGGAACTTGTGCTGGAAAAGAGATTTTTATTTTAGACCTTTAAGTTTTATTACAAAGCACAGTGAAATGTTTTATATGGAAAATCAGACAGCCAAGAAACTTGCCTTCAGCTAACCAAGCCTCTTGAAGTTGACTGAGATCCTGAAACAGCTCTGGAATTGAAAACAGAAGACAGCAGAATGAGAACTCCTGTGCTGGGGAGAACAGGGAGGGTGAGTCTACATGTGGCTCTCACAGGGGACCATTTGAAGAAGCCACAGACCAAAGGGAAAGCTTCACTACCTTCAGAATCATGGGCCAGATCCGTGTCCAAAAACTTCCTCTTTCTGTCAATCACAGGCCGCCCTCTACATTCCTCTGATCGAGATTTCTGAAAGAGGCCAAGACACAGTGAAGGCTCAAGGGTAATAAAGGGGCCAAAGGGGATTGTGCTACTAAACCAATGAGAAGATTCATATTCGAAGAGGGAGAACAAAACAAACCAAAGCCACATAAACTTACCCCTGGGACCATAAAAGGGACTTGCTGATCATAAAACCCATCCATGGTGTTTCCAATGCCTCGAATATCACTTTGAAAGGTTTCAGCATTGAGTACTTTCTGGGGGGAAAGGGGTCCTCCTGTAATAGGAATTTGGGAGATTTTAACTGAGAGGGGAAAAGGAGAAATGAAGTAATTTTTACTGCTCTTTTTTTAGGGCCTGTGCAAAATCACTACCTTTCTCTGAGGTACTTAAAGCCCACTCAGGGTGTAAGATTTACAGACTAAAGGTGTGCCTGATTAAGGGCATCATAAGTTCATAGTGTACTTAGTGTCAAGTCCATTTACCTAGCTGTCCTTCCCCCTCTCTCTAATCATTAACAGCGTAAGTTTGTTACTGTCTGTTCCCTATAAAAACCAAAACCAAAACTCCTTCTTGTCATTTTAAAAGGGTGATTTCAAGTTTCTCTCCAATAGAAGATTCTCCAGGGCATTTATAATGTTAGGTCTTCTTTTTTTTTTTTTAAGAGATAATTTCATTTTTGACAGTACAGTGACAGGAAGTAGAAAAATGGGTTTAAGCCTTCCAAATTATTGGCAATTAAAAATTTGACATACATAGTGTTTCTAAAAGTAGTTTGTAGGTCAGTGGTAAGATACCATATATAGTTCCAGGCATATATTGATCAGAGATATACTAATTTTCACACAACACTCTTTTAAAACCTAATTCTTCTGTTCAAACAGATCTAGTGTCTGTAATGTCACAAATATTCCTATGGCAACTTACAGAGATTATCTGTGATATCACCAACTTCTAAAATAAATAAAATAGCCATGGAAAGTAATGAATCAAGGAAACTAAATTCTAACACACAGATTTTAAATGCATCTCTACCAGAGATCTTAAAAAAGCATTAAAAGCAAAAGATCCATGTACAGAAAATTCAGTTTGTTTCTTAGAGTGAAGTCAATTTTCCCCAAACTTGCAAAAAAATATTAAAACTTATTTCAGCACTGTCAAGTCTTGGGCCTGGGAAGACAGGTTGAAGGTCAAAATGGAAAGGAGGGAACGTTTTCTTTTTTCTTTTCTTTCCTTCTTTCTTTCTTTCTTTTTTTTTTTTTAAGATTTTATTTATTTATTTGACCAACAGAGATCACAAGTAGGTAGAGAGGCAGGCAGAGAGAGATGGGGGTGGGGGGAAGCAGGCTCCCTGCTGAGCAGAGAGCCAATGTGGGGCTCCATCCCAGGACCCTGAGATCATGATCTAAGCCGAAAGCAGAGGCTTAACCCACTGAGCCACCCAGGCGCCCCAGGAGGGAATGTTTTCTAATTTCAGAGGAATAAGTAACAATTTTAGGAAGGTACCACCTTCCTGAACCCTTTGTTTCATTCTCCAAATAGAAATGCGGTTAAATCAACAAAATGGAGAAAACAGTAATTTCATTCACGCAGCTCTAAACAAAGCAAAATGTTTGCAGATAATTCTTTTGTTTACCTTGTATACAAATTTTAAATAGGGAACTTTTTCTCAGTGGGCAATTCCACGCAACTTGTTTTTCTTAAGTGAGCAGGATACAAGAAAACCCTTCATGGTCCTCTCAGCACTCTGGCCCAACTAGTCAGAAATTTTCAAAGTCAAAGAGAAAGAGGGAGAGGAGCAAAACTGTACACAGTCCATCATTTCCTAGAAAAACACTCCCGCTGGCATGCCTGCATGCCTTCCAAACAGCGCTAAACGTTCAGAATAAAGCCTCTTTCTCAAATGTCACTAACCCATACACAAAATCTGAGAAACGTCGGCAGTGAGTTGAGGGCCATGAAAATGAGTCCTCTGTAGACTTCAAAATCTGTCAGATTAAATCGTGACCTTAGAATTTATGTCAGTGTCTATAGGGGGAAAGGGACAACGGAGAAGAGATCGGAGGGGGAGATATTTCCGAGTCTCAAGATGAAATACGTTGCAAGATACTTCACCACGAAGAGCAATAATACCTTTTTAAAAAATGAAATAAAAGGAAGAAGCTGCCATAAGCGAACCAGGGAGGGGCATCGAGAATTTTTAAAGCAGCGCTCAGAGTTCAAGAGCTAGGAAAATCTTGTTCGAAGTATAATTTTTTGTAAAGCCTTACGGGAGTTTAAACCACTTCCTTTGTGGTCCCCCCTTCCCGGTGCCCCCAGGAAAACTTTAACGCCGCGCAGCGGCGCGATAGAGGCCCCTCCCCCGCGGCGCGCAGCGGGCCTGGTTTTATGAATGGAAGAGCGAGCCGCAGCCGCCACATCAGGTAAAGGCTGTAACTGGATCCCTCGCGCTGGGCCCCATTCACAAAACAAGACACACTTCCACCCAATTCCCAGCCTTCCCCATTCATGAAAACTCCTTTGGATGAGCCCCCGCCCCCACTTCCAACGCACGCCCAGCCTCCGACGCAGGCCCCTCACCCCCAGCGATTTAGGAAGAAAGCTCAATGCTTCATTCACAAAAAGGGAAAGGAAAAAAAAAAAAAAAGCCGCAGGGAGCAGCGAGCCAACGAAAGAAACCCGCTTCATTCATAAAGTCATCCACATTCATAAAATCTAGCCGCGGCGCCGGGTGCTACCAACCACCCGCAACGGCCCCCGGCCCCCGACCCCCAAACATCCAAACATCTCTCCTTGGCACTCCTCCGCAACCAGGAGTTCGGTTCCCCCCAGAGGTCTCCTCTCCTCTGAAAATGCGGACAGATGCCTAATCCAGCGAGAGGCTCCAGCATCTCTCCACCCCCACCCCGCACCCGCTTTTCCCCCCACTATCCTCAGGCCGCTGCACTGATGCTCCCCGATTTCTCGAGAACCGCGATGCAGCCTGACGCCCTCAAGCTGCTGGGGGTGGGAGTTGGGGGATTGAGTGTCACTTTCCACAATCTGAAATTTGCAAGGCCTGCATAAGTTCCTGGCCAACCCTCAAACCCTCAGGCTGCACATGCCTGTGTCACTTAACCCTTCCTGGTACTTTGTGGGGGCATCACCTCTCAAATATTCCCCTTCAAGCTGCTTCCCGCCCCCTCCTCCCCACCAGAAAAGCTTCGCCGGGCGTCTCTTCTCGCGAGCCTCCAAGTCTCCTCCGGGCTCTCAGACCCCCAGAGATTGTAAAGCCCCGCAACTCAGCGTCCCTCCCCCCCGCCCATCCCCACCCGAGAGCCCCGGCACCTCGCGCCCGGGCGCGCCTCCTCGCGACGTGCGGAAACTCGCTCTCCGAGCGCTCCGGAACCGTTAGCCACCCCCACCCTACGCCTCCCAAGAACCGAACCGAGGCGAGCCACGAGAGGAGGGGGCAGCCCGTTCGGGGGTGGGGGTGGAGAGCTTAGTCCAGATAGAAAGTACACCCGGACTTTGAGGATTCTGAATCAGCCAGTGAACTCTCGCCAGCTGGGCCCTTCGGACCCGTTACTGGACACCCCCTTCGATGCCCCCCTGCCTCCTCGACGCCCCCTCACCTGAGGCAGCCGCTCTCCTCCCGTTGCAGCGGCCCCGGGGCGCAGGCGCGCTCACGCACGCGCGCACCGGGCCTGGGCGCCTGGGCGAATGGCTGGGCCGAACCGCTCCGGGGACGCTGAACCGCTCTGCGCACCAGCGGCTGGACTCTGCGCCGCAGCTGCCAACCAGGCTGGAGCGCTGGCCCGGCCCCCCGGGGCGTGCTGCTCCGCCTGCCGCCATTGGCCAGCAGTCCTAGCTCAGCCTGGTTCTCATTGGCCCGAGGCAGCTCCTCCGCCTGTCTATCACGTCTTGTTTACCCTGTCTGCGGACAAATCCAGCCAAGCCGCCCCATCAACTCCAGCCCCCATTGGTCAATAACGCGTCCCTCTCCACCCCCCTCAGGGGTCTGTTTTACATAATTTATGCACCGGGGGCCATTGGCCAATCAGCACAGGCTTGTTTATATAATGAATGTAAGGACGTTTTTCATTCATAAAAAACGCGACCTGAGGGGGAAGCTTAGCTGAGTCAGTGAAGCACTTAAAGGGGACGAAGCCGCGAAGAGTCGCGTTTACTTCCCTCCTCGCAGCTCTCCCAACTTTTCACCGAGGCTTGGCTCTTCCCACGTCTCCATTCACCCCTGCTTCTCGCCCCCAACCCCCGCCCCGCAACGCCACTGCCAGGATGGGCCACTGGGCGCCAGACGTTCGCAGCTGCAGTACCAAGCAAAGTTATCATTTTAGAATTCAGGCTAGAGAAATTCGTCATTCCACCCAGAAAGAAACTCGCTGACCGACCTGGGCGTTTGGCCCACAGAAACACAGAAAACGGAAACCAAGCCCTCTAATCTTAGGTACCTTTAAGAGAGGCCTTAATTTCTTTTAACCAGGTTTCCAGTGGGGGAGGAGTAAGCAGTATCTCCCTTTAAAATCTGAGCTCTCGAACAGATTTTAGTTACTATTTTATTCTGGCAAGGCCTAAGGCCCAAACAAATTCCGTTTGCTCCCCCTGTTTAATTGCAGTTTACAACGTCCGCCAGAGTGGGTTCTGGACCCGAGATGAGATGAGAGAGGGTCGGAACTCAAAGAAATCCTCTCCGGGGATGGCACCAACCAGTCAACCGACCTAGAAACGTAAATCCCTCCGAAACCGGCCTGCAGAGTTAGACCGCCTGCTTCCCTTCCGGGACTGCTTGTTTTCCATTTAAGTATTGAATGCAAGATGGTGCATTTGCGAATTAGATCCCGTGCAGCTGGGAACGGCGAGAAGCTACTCTGCCTGCCAAACGATCGGGCACTAACTGCAATTGCTGAGATTCTTAACAGGGTGTTCCAGGAAACAAATAAATAAGCAATTCTCTCCCCACTCTGCTCCCTCTACCCCCTTCTGTGAAGGCTGGGCAGCTCTCTGCTCTCCCCCAGGACGCTGGGGTGCCCTGCCATTCAACCCGTGTGACGGTGGTAGGGAGGAAAAACATCAAATGTTAGAGGAGAGCCCCTCCCCTAGTGAAGGGGGTCCCAGGGTAGCCAACTGTGGGGCTGCCACCACCCCTGCCTGGGGAATGCAATGTAGATTTTTAGGGGGGAAATTTTTTTTTAAGTCAAAATTTGCCCACCTTCTTTTCTGTTTCTAGTTGTGTATCTTAAAGAGAGAAGCCACTTGTTTTGTCATTTATAGCCCAAGAAATGTTAGGGTACACCAAAGGAAACTGGAGTACACTGCTTGAGTCCTGGACCCAGCACTGGTCCTGTGGGAGCTATTGGTTCTGCAAGATACTTGGGGGGAGCACGAGTTAATGGGTGGGAAGGTGTTCTGATCTTTCAACAAGGAGCTCCATGATATTTAATTTTCCAATAGAGTATTTTGCTTCTGACCCCAGCTCAAGGACAGTTTTTCCCTTAGAACCTCTATTCATTGCCAGGTAATGCTATTTCTGTTTGGTGGATGGAGATTTTATCCCACTCCTGTGCTGCCACTGGGTTGCTACCAGCCCTGAGGCCTTTTTCTCTTCAGCTAGACTCCCCGCCCAGATTAGCTCCACATCCACTGCTCTAAGGCTGGCAGGCTCCAGAGTCCCTATGTGGGAGAAATTGCATGTGTCTCAGTTGATCAGCAAATCACCAGGAAATATCATTTGAACCCCAAATAGTAGAGGACAGAACTGGTTGATGTCACAGGGAAGCAGATATTAGCTTGGTGTAGCATGAGACAGGACTTTGGGATGTCTTGAGTGGCTCGGTGAAGGGACTGGGGTGGGGGTGGGGGCAGATAGATGCATGCGGGGAATTGTTCTAGCTCTAGGAGTCTATGATTCTGGAATTTGGAGCTTGTGTTGAACAGGGAGGTCCTTGGGGGCTCAGGCCCCATAGCTATAGTGTGAAACATGATGGTGTAACTCATGGTGACCGACTTTGACACGCTGCCTCCTGGGCCCAGAGTTGGTTCCTTTTTGTTTAGTATTTCTGATGTCTTTTCTCTACACGTATTCCTTCTTTTCGTCTGTTTCTCCCTCTTGGTGGCTTATGTCCTCTGCTGCCATCCCCATTTTACTCCCCATCTTCTTTTGTTATCTGTGCTTTATAAGAGTTCCTTTACTCTCATGGGGAACCTGGGTGGCTCAGTCAGTTAAGCCTTTTGATCTTGGCTCAGGTCATGTTGTCAGGGTGGTGGGATTGAGCCCCACATTGGGCCCGTGCTTAGGGCGGAGTCTACTTGTCCCTCTCCCTCTGCTCCTCACCACCCTCTACTTGCTTTCTCTCTCAAATAAATAAATAAAATCTTAAAAAAAAAAAAAAGAGGTAAGTGTCAGTATTTAGAAGTTCTTTGTCTAATGAACAGACATTTCTGCAAAGAAGACATCCAGATCGCCAACAGACACATGAAAAAGTGCTCCACATCACTCGGCATCAGGGAAATACAAACCAAAACCACAATGAGATACCACCTCACACCAGTCAGAATGGCTAAAATTAACAAGTCAGGAAACGACAGATGCCGGCGAGGATGCGGAGAAAGGGGAACCCTCCTACACTGTTGGTGGGAATGCAAGCTGGTACAACCACTCTGGAAAACAGTATGGAGGTTCCTCAAAAAATTGAAAATAGAGCTGCCCTACGACCCAGCAATCGCACTGCTGGGTATTTACCCTAAAGATACAAACGTAGTGATCCGAAGGGACATGTGCACCTTAATGTTTATAGCAGCAATGTCCACAATAGCCAAACTATGGAAAGAACCTAGATGTCCATCAACAGATGAATGGATAAAGAAGATGTGGTATATATACACAATGGAATACTATGCAGCCATCAAAAGAAATGAAATCTTGCCATTTGTGATGATGAGGATGGAACTAGAGGGTATTATGCTTAGTGAAATAAGTCAATCAGAGAAAGACAATTATCATATGATCTCCCTGATATGAGGAAGTTGAGAGGCAACGTGAGGGTTTTGGGGGGTAGGAAAGGAATAAATGGAACAAGATTGGATCAGGAGGGAGACAAACCATAAGAGACTCTTAATCTCACAAAACAAACTGAGGGTTGCTGTGGGGAGTGGGGTAGGAAGAGGGTGGTTGGGTTATGAACATTGGGGAAGGTATGTGTTATGGTGAGTGCTATGAAGTGTAAACCTGGCAATTCACAGACCTGTACCCCTGGGGCTAATAATACATTATATGTTTTTAAAAATTAAAAAAAAAGGAAGTTCTTTGTCTAGTACATTGAGTTTTTCCTCCTTAGAATATCACTTACATTGAAGGTTTTGTCCAACGTATGTTCTAATGTACTGTTTCTTCTGTTCCAGGAGAGTAACAGGACTGGAAAAGATACCAAAAAGAGTGACCAGTCCTCTGGAACACTCATCTAGTGTCAACCTAGCTTTTGTCCTCCAGTGGTAGCAAAACTCACTTAATTACAACAGGATAACTCACACCTTGTTGTTTGATGTGCAGTATGTCTTCAGGGAAGGAACATGGAAGGATGGAAAAACAAGTTCCTTGCTCCAAGCCTGAAAACATCTGTTACCTAAGAGGACAGCTTTTAAAGTTTTCCCTAAAATCCCCAAAGCAGGTTAAAACGTAAGGCAGCCAACTCTGCCTCTAGCTGATCACCAAAATGGCAGCAGAAAACGTGGCAGCGTCCTGCTCTCGGTCCCTCACCTTGGGGGACTGCCTCCCATTCCTCTGTTAGAACTGTCCTGGTGAGTGTAGCCCTGGATGGAGGCTAGGGTGTGGGCTGCATGGACACATCCAGTATAATATGGAGGAAGAGACTTGAGGGCAATGTCAAAAAGGTAAGGAAATGTTCGTTTGTTTGTTTTGTCTTCAAGGGAGAGATAAAGAACTCCATTTGGCTAGTATCTCTTCTTTTCTAAAATTTAGAAGTAAATACCCTAAAAATGGAAGGGAGAGAAAAGAAAATTTTTTAGATTCAATGTCTCTTTAAACAAACAGGGGCCATATTGCCTTCAGGGTTCCTTATAGCCGGAGAATAATAACAGCTGACATTTACTGAGTGCTTCATATGAGCCAGACACTTTCCCAAACCCTTCACACGTGTTAGCACATTTCGTCCCAACAACAGTCCTCTGAGGGAGGTACTATTATTACCACATCTACTTTTCACAGATGAAGGATTTTCAGCCTGGGAAAGTTCCATAAATCACTCCAGGTCACAGTACAAGCACCCAGTGAGAGAGAGAGAGTGCCTCTAAGGGGGTCCCTCCAGAGCCCACGGGTCCCCACTCTGCTGGGACACCTCAGCCCTAGGGAAGGACCTGCAGGACCACAGCCAGAGCTGAGAGAGCATTTTGCTGCTCCAGGCAGGTGAGGGGATATGCTTGTACTAACCTGCTTGACCTTCCTAGACCCTCATAGACCAGGAAGCCAAGAGAGGTTAGGGAATTGGTCTAAGATCTAAGAGTAGGAGTTGGAGTCAGGAGCTGAATGTAGATCTTGAACGGAGTCCTTGCTCTGAAACACTTCATGAAGTCTATGTTTCTGCAGTTTCCCTCTGTGTCTTTCCCTCATTTGCTTTAGGTGCTCTGGCTGCTTACTGGCCACTCCCT